AACAAACGAAATTTAAATTAAATCTTATTTTAAATATTTTTTTAAAAAGAATTTAGAAAAAAAAACTGTGCACGACCAGAAAAAGTGGCATCATTATCATTCCCTCCCCATATACACTACAACATCATCAACAACAACAACAACAACAACAACAACAACAACAACAACAGCAGCAGCAGCAACAGCAACAATAACAGCAGCAGCAGCAGCTTACAATAACTCAAAGTTTGTGTCTGCTTCTCTGTAACAATGAAATACGAATATTCGAGAAGAGAAACTATATTCAATAAAACAGAAAATGTACCAGCATTACCATACATCACAAACGGAAAATACGAATACATGTACCACATACACCTCCTTTTATTTGGGTGAGTTGGTTGGTTGGTTGGTTGGTTGGTTGGTTGTGTTGTGTTGTGTTGTGTTGTGTTGTGTTGGGTTTGGTTGGGTTGTGCTGTGTTGTGTTGGGTTGGGTTGTGCTGTGTTGTTGGTTGGTTGAGTGAGTTAATTGGTTGCGTTGTGTCGTAGGTTGATTGGTTGGTCGGTTGTGTTGTGTTGTGTAGTGTTGTATTGTGCTTTGCTGTTCTCTGCTGTTTTGTGGTGTGATGTGTTGAGCTGTGCTGTGCTGTGCTGTGATGTGGTGTGATGTGTTGTGCTGTGCTGTGCAGTGGTGTGGTGTGCTATGTTGTGCTGTGCTGTGCAGTGTTGTGGTGTGATGTGATGTGCTGAGCTGTGCTGAGTTGTTTTGTGTTGTGTTGCGTTGTTGGTTGGTTGGTTGGTTGGTTGGTTGGTTGGTTGGTTGGTAGGTTGGTTGGTTGGTTGGTTGGTTGGTTGGTTGGTTGGTTGGTTGGTTGGTTGGTCGGTCGGTTGGTTGGTTGGTTGGTTGCTTGGTTGTGCTGTATTGTGTTGTGCTGTGCTGTGCTGTGCTGTTCTGTGTTGTTCTGTGCTGTGCTGTCTTGTGTTGTGTTGTGTTGTGCTGTGCTGTGCTGTTCTGTGTTGTTCTGTGCTGTGCTGTGCTGTCGTGTGTTGTGTTGTGTTGTGCTGTGCTGTGTTGTGTTGCTGGTTGGTTGGTTGGTTGGTTGGTTGGTTGGTTGGTTGGTTGGTTGGTTGGTTGGTTGGTTGGTTGGTCGGTCGGTTGGTTGGTTGGTTGGTTGCTTGGTTGTGCTGTATTGTGTTGTGCTGTGCTGTGCTGTGCTGTTCTGTGTTGTTCTGTGCTGTGCTGTCTTGTGTTGTGTTGTGTTGTGCTGTGCTGTGCTGTTCTGTGTTGTTCTGTGCTGTGCTGTGCTGTCTTGTGTTGTGTTGTGTTGTGCTGTGCTGTGTTGTGTTGCTGGTTTGCTGGTTGGTTGGTTGGTTGGTTGGTTGGTTGGTTGGTTGGTTGGTTGGTTGGTTGGTCGGTTGAAGTTGTTTTGGTTTGGTGTTGTGTAGGTTTGGTGTTGTTTTGGGGGATTTTTTTAAGTGGAGAGAAGAGAAAAAAAAAACTAGAAGAAAGCAGAAACATTGAACCTTGTTGAGAGTCCAAAGAAAGTAATTTTTTTTACTTGAATAAACCAGAAACGTGTGTCTACTTACCGGCTGACGTTTTCGGAGAACAAAGTTCTTCCACAGCAGCATCCGCAGCTGCATAAAGAACGCCATGTTGGCAGAGGATTTGGCCTGGCACTCACTTGCACAGGGTTCAAACACAGGGTAATTTCACTGAACTGTCCACAGAATCTCACAGAAATAACGACATCCTTAGCAGGTCAGGGTGCCACACAAATTTTCTGGGGAAAAAATAATAAATGAGGTAAGGGTGAGTGTTACTGCTTAGTTTTGATAAGAGTTTTAAGGCACTTGTAACACAATTAGGTCAATTCATAAGTGCCGAACAACAAGGATGTTACAAGATCAGATTTACATTTACATGCACAAAAAAGAAAGGGGACCGATAAGAACGATAAATGATTGATAGGAAAGAAGGAGCAAACCACACCAGAGCATCCGCCAACCAACTATTGTTAGTTTGCACTTTTGGCGATGTATACATGATATTAATAGCATTATGCGTTATCCTGAAGAGGAGCACGGAGATTGAGTAGCAAAAACTGAACAACAAACACACAGATAGGCATAAACATATAGACCCCAAAAATGAGGTGGCTCAGTAGCTCTACATATTACGGCGATCGCCTGTCAATCTGAAGCTCCGAAGTGCCATCCCCTCTAGCGCCGTTTTGTTTGTTTGTTTGTTTGGGGTTTGTTTTGTTGGGGGAGGGGGTTGGGGGGTTACATGAGAATAGGGCTAAAACAGCCCCTAGACATGGATAGCTGGTGCCCCTTTAAATGAATTACTGATGGCATAGTTTCCTTTATGTTTTCTTCCGATCCACACATCTTTATTGCTGGGTTCTTCAAACTGCTCCCAGTTTGCCTTTTTAGTTTTAAAACATGTAAATGTGTGTGCGCCTAGAAAAAGTCGCCCTAGACAGTTTCGAGCTAAGGGCTGATCATTACAAAAATCGCTTTTTTTTTTTTTTTTACCAAAATGGGTTTTCATTTTTTTAAATGATAGATCTACCATTTTTGAGAATTTGCCCAAAGGGTTTTCATTGATTTGACTTCTAAATATTTTATTTTGATTTACATGTATTTTGAGGGTAGGGTATAACAAAAACAAATAATGAAAACTGCTTTTGAAAGGTGTTAAAATCTATCCTTGAAGCACGTTTTCTCTCCCTGCTATGTTTTACAACTGAATTCCATTCATGATATTGATGTCAACTGGATGCCAAATTGGAAATGAATTGTACATGAATAAATACATTTAAAAAATCGTGTGTTTTTTTTAAAGTTGATATGTGTTCTCATGTTTGTTAAACTAAAAAGCTAATTTTCTCAAAATTATATTTTTATACACTACCTCGCAAAAAGTGCAATATCTCAAAAAACTACTTGAGACATCTTTTAAAAAAACTCAAAGACCCCTGTGTTCAGAATTGAAGATACAACCATTAACTCAAAATCCAAATTTTTGTACCTTCAACTTTAGGCACACACAAATTTTTTCGAGGCTAAAACTGCACCTCGACATGGATGGTTGGACGTGTATCTATAAATAAATTATCAATGGCTGGTGTGGTAATGTTTTCTGCATCCCTTGATCTTAAGGTGGGTGGGCTCGAGCATATCTAGTCTTCTCGGATAAAAACGAAAGTATTTCGGAGGTCCCGTGTGAAAGTTCTGCACGTTGAGGACCGTACACACAAGCAAAATACAAGCCAAACAGTCAAAACACATGCAAAACACGACCAAACAGGCCAATCTCAGGCAAACACACAGAGCAAATACAGGCCAACCAGGCACAATGCAGTATGCAGGCCATACACTACGGGGTGCCCACTATGGATGGGATCGGCCGATCGTTACCCGACTCGATCGCCTCAAAAACAAAAGTGTTTGTTTTCAGTTTCAGGCCGACCCAGCCGTAATGGCACCCCGTAGATTCTCACTTTGATGCACTGGTCAATCACAGGCCAAATATACACAGGCCAAATACAAGCCAAAACGGAGACCAAGGAAAGCCCAAATTAAATCCAGGCACAGAACGCTAACATGAGGACGGAAACAACTTGTATCTACCTGCGAGTGGAACAAGTATAATATACCAAAGCAATGAGGGAGAAAGAAGTGGGGTTGTAAGGGCTGGCCGGAGGTCAAAATTGGGGACCCTACGTCCGCTCTTGCCTCCCCCCTCCATGTCGTATATTATGTATATATATCCTGACAGCAAACGGTCCCACTTTGTTCATGGCATTATGTACTATAAATAGCACACGTCTATGAATCAGCCATTCACACAGCCATTACACGATTAATAAACACTGAGGGCGTCAACTATTGCGAAATCTGGCCCTTTTTTATATTAAGGTTCGGTAAGAGTTTCACGACACTTGCAACACAAATAAGCCACAATACTATGTGCTGAAGATTAGATGTGTCACTCGAGTGTAGGCAAAAACACTGATGCACCGATGCCTTTCCCAGTGCCGTTTGATTACATGCTGATAACTTGTGGCACATAAAGAGTTAAGAAAGGAACTTTTTTTAAACCACAAGCAAATAAAAAAAAAACGTAATAGTCATTTAATGCGGGGGGG